GAAAGAATGAGAATTTATAGAAATATCTGTCAGAAAACCTCTCCTTTTAATCCTTTCAATCTTACTGTGTATCATTTTCGTTTCAGGTCTTGAAGAGTATTTGGCGTCTTTTCGAGCTCGAAGAGTTGATGGTAAGGCATTGTCGAAATGTGACCGGGCGGCTTTCACCCAACTGGGCGTCACTCGGATCGCCCACCGTCAAAAAATGGAAGCTTCTCTTCGACGGTATATGAGCATTGTATAGTGCTATGTTCACCTTTGTACATTTGGATTTTCTAATAACGTAGACTATTCTAGGGCTTTTCTGCTTAATTGAAAAGGGTTTCGTTATAATTTACATAAAAGACACACTATCTTCCAAACTCACCTGTAAAATAACTCTTAGTTAGCAGCGAGTAGTCCTCTAGTAATTAATTGGCGCACATTCTGTGCACCCCATTTCTCGCTTCGGATATCTTCAGTAGAAGTTCGCTGTGATTCCTGTGCCTAATGAATGCTCATGTCGTTTAAATTTATGTGTCCCTCTTGAAATAGCTTTGGTGTGAAATAACTCTAAGACTAAGATTCTTTTGCTTAATGGGACCTCCCCTCCACAGTCCCAATCGATGACTCAGTGTTCGGTGCATTCGCTTGCATTTGCTATGCAAGCGCAGCTTCTTTGACTGTTGGACACGCTTCTGCTTTATCTAGCCGCACGACGCGATTCCCTGTTCCGTCTGGGTCCCTTATCTCTCATCTTCTGTTCATGTGTAAATTATGTAGAGATTGGCTACGCATATGCTTGTTTATATTTTATGCAAATCTGTTTGTATTGTGATAAATAAAGATTATTACGTAGAAAGTTTGAAAGCTCTTTTATCATAAAGAATGGAAGCGGTTTTCAAAAATGTGGACGCTTTTTCTTCTTGAAAACGATTAGAGCATCTTTGTCAAACGCGGAAAACTTCGCTGGCAGCACCCTCTCCATTTCTATCTGAAATGTACATTACGGCCCACTCATCACCATAAATTATAGCTGACATAGTTAGATTAGTACAGTCGTCTAAATGTCAGTATTGTTAAATTTTTAAAGTTAACATAATAGAATTTGAGCGTGTGTGTGGTGAATGGTAGTATAGCAAGTAGTTATACGCAAAAACTTCGAAAACAAACTTTGAAGGGCTTTCTCGGAGGCGCATGTCGTCCAGGTCCTAGCGTGTACATAACTGGTGGATAAGTAGTGGTCCTTATCTGAAATTTCCAAGTCTACAACATCATGATGAAGATGAAAAACAGCGTTTATGAAGGTACTTCGCGTTGACGATAAGGAGCAGCCACCCTTGGATAGGGGTAATGTGGACGAGGCCCGCCTCCAAACTGCACCTGCAAACGTAGTCCTGTCATTACTGTAAACACTCTGCACTCGCATAAATTACTTGGTAGAAGTGACGCTTCTATTTTCCAAAACTCTCGTTTTTACTTCCCGATCCTGCAGAAATTGATAAGAAAGAAACTTGTGCCCTGTCAGTCTGTCAGTGAGCATATCTTTTGCGCTATAACCCTTTACAAGACAATACTGTAGAAGTGATTGGCTCATTTTTGACTAAATTAAATAGAAATCGGGGTTCTGTCGTGAAAGTTATAGCAAGGAAGCAACAATCGCAAATCAGCTTTTTTAAGTGAATGAGCTGAATTTGGTGTCGTAAGAATAAAAGCCTTTCTTTCTTGACAGAGGTTCCCTAATGGTATAATAGTTATGTATTTTGCACTGAACTACAGTTTAACAATATCTGGAGTAACTAAAAGAAAGTTACCAATAGTTTTAGGCAAGGGGCTAAACCTTGGTTTTAACTGATTGATGGTCTTATAATTCTTTCGCTCAATGGAAATATCTGTTCCACAAACCAAAATTTGCATACAGGGTTTTGCTGTTTTGCAGAATTTGAAGCTGTGGGGTTTAAGGCTAGAAATGATAGGGGCTTCAAATACCACTATTAGTCCTAGTCAAGTTTAATTTACATCCTCTAAAGTAATCCGCAGCCCCACCACTGTTTCAATCCATGTACCTCAACAATTTGCTCAGCTGAACTTGGAATCACCTGCGCCGTCGAGACCACCGGACGTTTCGGTATACGAACGAAGCCATCGCCAAGCCAGAGTGGGCTACAAATAACTACAAATAAAGCAGGTTAGGAACCAAGGACGTTGATATCTTCAGAACACTTCAATATTTGCAGTTATATGTTTCTCAGTAGACCATAATACTCGAACAAGACCCATCTGAATTCATCTCTAATACCAATGGTGTTTATAAGATCTTACAAGAGAAGGATACATGGTCGAAGTAGCGATTCAAAAAGTGATGCATACTGGAAGATGCAGTTTCAGAAGCTGATTCCAAGTCTGCCTTTCAAATCTGCGAAGCGTTTTTCTGGAAGAAGTTATGGAAGTTTTTCTATGATGAAATTAGCCTGTGCGTCTCGCTAATGACTGCTCTACAACCTCAAATCCATCCAGGAACAGCAAGCAAATGGTTGAATTTTATTATGAAGACATATTCTTTTAGTCGGTTCAGCCATCGCACTGCTGTTCTAGGCCGAGTTTGAACTTTTGAGCATTTTAATCCAGGTCCTGTAAGCCATTTTTGATAAAGAAAAACCTCCGTGACTCCTTCCAAAAGGGCGCTTCGCAGATATCGAAGGTAGATTTGAAGTCAGCGTTTCAAACTGCATCTAACGATGTATATCCCTTTTGGAATCGCCACTTCAACCAGGTATCCTTCCCTTGTTAGAACAATTTAAACAAGCTCAAAATTGGATTTTAAAAAAGCGATAAGCATTGAGTACCGAGCTGCGTTATATTTGGTATGTACAATCGGAACACTAGATTTTTTT